AGACCCTAGTCATAAAGCTGGGGAAACAGCATTGGACCAAACCAACCTCTCTGAATGTGGCTACCAGCTAGGAGCCCAAGACAATCTATGGCCCCTCTGAAAGTGGAGCCAGTCTTTATCCCTAGAGCTAAATGGACTTTGGGAGCCCATTCCCTATGGAGGGATACTATTGCAGCCCAGATACAGCAAGGAGGGTCTAGACCCTCCCTCAAACAATATGACAGACTCTGAAGATCCTTGGTAGAGGGCCTCACTATGCCTGGAGAGGAGTGGGGGGGTGGGTGGGTTGGGTGGAGAACATGGGAGGAGGGGAGGATGAGGGAATGGGGGATGGATATGTAAATATGAGTAATTAAAAATAATACAAAAATTTAAAAAAATCTTTCAAATTCTTTTCTTCCCAAAAGTAGTTTTAGGTTTATAAAGTTATACATATTCCTATCTTGCCTTTTTTTTTTTTTTTTTTTTTTTTTGGTTTTTGAGACAGTTTCTGGAACTTGCTCTGTAGACCAGGCTGGCCTGGAACTCACAGAGCTCTGCCTGCCCCTGCCTGCCTACTGCTGGGATTAAACTCGGCTTTTCTTGTTTTCTGTAATGTTTATGCTCTCACACTTTTCTTCCTTTCTAAAAGTTTTTGACACATGGTCTTGCTATGTAGCTCTGGCTGGTTTCTTATCGACCGTGAATCCAGACTGTCTTTGAACTCATGGTTATGGTAATCTTCCTGCTGTATCCTCCTGGTGCCAGTGAACCACCACCACCAGCTTCTACTTCTTGCTTTCTTAGTCTTTTTATCTTGATTTTTCAACCCACATACCTAAATGTAAGTGTTCCTCCAGCTGCTTTGGAGTTTTATTCCATGTTTCTGAGGAAATTTAGAAATCTAGAACAAGCAAAAAAACGTCTTTACTCTTATAGAGTTAGCAGTTCCCACAAGAGCCACTGGTTTTTACTGCTTGAGGCAGAAGCAGAGAAGAAAAAGGGCAAAATAAAGGGAACGAGCAGAGTGGAACTCAGTAGAAAGGGTTAGAAAGCCACAACAACTGCCTCAAGGATAAGGGTGTGTGCGTGTCTAATTTTTCTGAATTACAAAGTCAGGGTATGCAAACTGAAAAATTTAGCATGGTTGTAAGAACAAGCCTCTTTGTCTTCTGGGAGACGGTTTTTGCTTCCATTAGAATGTATTTCAGCCATCCTCCTTTGAGATTAACGACACACAATGGCTGCATTATGTCTTTTTATATATCATAGAGAACCAGCAGCAACAGTTTGTCAGCAGGAATAACATGACTCAGCAGTTGCTAGGTAATTTCTTGGATGTTTTATTCTGTGGGATATCATCTGGGGTTTTTCTTGGTGAAATAACTAAGAAAGCAATCTTAAACAAAAGAATAAATAGGACACACAATTGTGATTTTATGTAAATAGCTTGAATAGATTCTACATCAGTAGAAAGGCTCTTTTATGGATCATGTGGGCTAGCTAAATTTTTGGCAGAAACAACAACAAAAAAAGTTGTGAGCAGTAATTTCTTTTTACTCAGCTGTGCTACCTCATGTAAACATCGCAGAGAAACATTCTTCCTTAGAATAGTTCTGCTTCGGATAATTTCTCTCTCCTACTTTATACCCAAGAATGTAAAAAACACCCTTTTGTTGTTAATATTTCACCTCTTGTAGTTCTGTTTTACTCCACAAATAAAAGTCTTCTGTCATTTTATAGTAATTCTGGATGGTTTTAAAGAGACCGAAACAGAATTTACCTTTTAGATAGGAATAAGTAATAAGAACCCATGTTATGATCATAAAGATAAATAATTTTCTTTCTGGACAATATTCATTTCCATATACAGTACACAAAGATAAACTTGGAAGAAAAATACAGGCACCAAAAAGGTTTGTTATTTACGCTTTACTAATTTCAAAGACAGTCTAACCTAGTGAGAAAAATTAAAGATAGATTTCTTAAGACTCTGTTAGTGTGAAACATAATGCCAAGCTTCACAATTTTATTTTATTTACACAGATGTAAAAATAACAATTCAGACAGATGTTAACCCATCCTTCCTTCCTTCCTTCCTTCCTTCCTTCCTTCCTTCCTTCCATATTTTGGAGACAAGGTATTTTCTGTAGCCCACAGTAGCCTCACACCAATGATCTTGCTTCAACCTCCCAAGTGCTGGATTACAGGCATGTAACACTGTGACCAGCTCTGACTGCCATCCTTTTGTCAGAGATAGTCTGGGAAAATGTTTACAATAATGATAATAATGGTAATGTTAATAATAATGATGATAGTAATATTTATCATTAAACATTCATGGAACAGTTTCTAAGAGTTCTTCTTTTGGTATGTTTTGGGTACTTTATTAAGGCTTTCCATAGCCTAATTTGATTTTCACAACAATCTGTAATGTCACAGATTTGCATTTCACAGATGAGAAAACAGGATAAAAAGCTTTTGAGTAATTTACTCAAAGTCATATAGAGGAAGGCAGTCCTGAAATTTAGATCACTTGGACTCTGTTCAAAGCCCATATATATAGCTTTAACCATTTTTGATGATAACTCTAATGTAAGAGATGGCACTGGGACATGGCAGAGATTAGTGAATGTATTTAATTACAAAGAAAAGAAATATTATTTTAATGGACAGAAGTAAAGAAACAAAAACAAAAAAATCCACAACTCACCATTTAAAAAAAATTACTGGCTGTGTCCACATGTAATTCCCAGAGGGAAATATGAATTTTAAATTAATTTTTTCATTGTTTAACTATTCTTGTAGGATGTAGTTCTTTGTAAGCACTACTAAACTTGGTGTATTTTATTCTTTAAACATGAATGCTAGCTATCCATTGTGAAAACTGCTAGAAATATTTTAAAAATAATATATTCAAAACTAATAGAGTCTGTAATTCTCATACACTTAATATATTCATTTCGAACACAGCATGCATTGTCACACAGGACATTTATTTCTAAATGCTTTTCTCATTATGTTATAGTGAAACTCCATATGGAATTTCTGAAATTGTTATTCATGTGTATCTGTTGTGTCTACTTTTAGAGAAATTTAGATAATATTAATGCTGATTTTTACTTTTTCTGTTTACTTCATCGTCAAAATATTCTTATAGCTTCACACAATAATAATTTCAAAATTTTTGAGAATTCCTGGAATACTGATTTATTGTCCCTTAATCTCAAAAATCATGTTGGCAAAAGGTGAAAGATTTACAGGATATGAAGGGATGTCTTCATCAAAACTTTCTCCTCAGGGCTCAGGGAGCTATGCAGAACAGGTGGCAGAACAACTGTAAGAGCCAGAGGTGATGGACATCTCCCGGGAAACTATCTTCCGAAGACAACAGGGCGATGCACATATGAACTCACAGAGACTGCACAAATCTTACACAAGTTCAAGCCAGATAGGATACCAGCACACAAGGATGTGAACACAAACTCTCATCCCAAGCCAAGAAGATATTTGCAACTAATATCCATTGACAAAGGAGTATCGGTTTTCTCCAATGGAGTGTCACTGGGTATGTCAACTATACTACAGGGAAAACCCTCTGCCCAGAGTAGTTGGCCAATAAACAACAAACTCAATGGCTTTTTTGTGGCCTTTTGTTTTTACCATTTTGTGTTTTACAGGTCTTTTGGTTTTTTGTTTTGATTTTTGTTGAATTTTTGTTTTGAAAGAGAGAGCAAAAGAATACTAAGTTGGGTGGGTAGGGAGGTGAGGAAGATCTGGGAGGAGCTGGTGTAGGGGTAAACATGATCAGTAAATATTGTATGGAAAAAATAAAAAAAAACTGCATTTTTAAAGAACCCTGAAAAAAGCTGGGAAATATTTTTAGACTATTTTTTATTTGAGTTAGTAACCAATAACAAAAATAATGTTTTGGTTTTATAGGTTTTTTTTTTTTTTTTGAGACAGAGTTTCTCTGTGTAACAGCCCTGACTGTCCTGGAACTCACTTTATAGACCACACTGGTTTTGAACTCACAGAGATCAGCCTGCCTCTGCCTCCCTCCCAAGTGCTGGCGTTAAAGGTGTGTGCCACCACTGCCTAGCTAATGTATTGTTTTTTGGAAATTGCTAAGAAAATAGATTTTGAGAATTTTCATCACAAGAAGTAATTATGTGAGATAATTCATATGCTAACTATCTCAATGGAATCATATCACAGTGTATTCCTACTTTAAAATATATTATACACAGAAAAACAAAGTAAAAACATCAAATAAGATTTTAAAAGCAATTTAGCTACATTTTTATCCTGGGTTATTAGATCAGATTTTAGACAGGCAACTGTTACTTAGTATTTGCTTTTAAGTTTTAGACAATTTTAAGCAATTCTGAGGGAGTGAGCTGTTAGTAACATCTGGGGTTCTGGAGCTCTGAAATATGGCTTCTTCTGGAGAGATTAAAGGTTTCACTCACGCTTTCATTTCATCAAATCCTCTACTGAAGTTTAACTTTGAAGCAACAGGACACACTTTCACATTTAATCCCTGTTTTTAATCTGTTCATTTTTTCCTGAGACCATTTAGATGTTTTCAACTAGAAAACATGGAAGAATTCCAGAACCAGGTGTCTGCTTTCTGGTGTGTGAAGAAGCTAAAGGTATAAGCTATAGTAACAGTATTTTTTGTTTTTGTGTATCAGAGAACCTAGGACCTTGAACATGCTAGGTAGTTTCTCTGAGTCACATCTCTAGACAATTAATAGTGTTTTTTTTTTTTTCTTTTTAACTTGACCTCTATGTATATATTTGTGATAAAGAATTTTCATAGGACTCTATAATACTTTGACTGCAGAGAACTAGTCAAGATTGTGTCAAAAATATACAGGTATAGATTGCTGGTGAGTGAAGTAATTTTGACAATTAATTGGGAATAGATATAATAGTAATCAGCTATGTGAACTGAGACAAAAATGTGGAAAAAACACAATATGATTCTGAAGACACTAAAGAAAACTAACAGTTACCTCGAACAGCATAGCCATCTTTTACTGATGCTGGGAATGGGGGTAGGTTGTCTTTTGCATATACATCTTGAGCAAGGACTCGCCCCATTCCATCTGAAAGAAAAGAAAGAAATATGAATAATGGAGGCAGTGGGAAAGCAATCAGTCATAAATAAGATGGGTACAAGTGCATGCACCATATCTTAGAAATGGGCCTAGCCTGACTTTCTGATTGTTCAAGGAATAGTGTACAGAAAGAAGAGTTGTATCCTAGTACCTAAAAAAAAAAAAAAAAACACAGATGGTCAACACTTCTAATAATGGTTATAGTAATTAAAGATGAATTGCTACACAGCCAGAAAAAATGTGTTCAGAAGATATGTCATTAACTCTCTCGAAATGCAAATATAATATTCCTCAAAAGGAAAGCCAAATTTAAACATTTTCATTGACCCAGAAATTTCTCTTCTAGTATTGTATCATAAAAATTAAATTTATATTCATGTAGATCTTTATTTCAGAGTTGCTTATGTTAGTAAATATAGAAAGATAAATAATATATTTAAATAAATAGTGGCATTATTCTTATGAGTGCATTTATAAAGAATATTTATGGACAAACAAAATATGATTAAAAAGATATATTTTAAAATATGCAAAATTGTATGTGCACTATAATTTAACTACATTAACATACAAACATATATCAATAGAATGATGTACATGAAACTATAAAGGCTGTTATTTTAAAATGTTAGTTACATCTTTTAGTCACTGTTATAGGTTTTTTTTTTTTTTTGAAACAGTTCCAAGTTGTAGCTTTAATACAATAAACATGCCACTCTTACAAGCATAAACTTTATTTTCTGTCCTGAAAGGAGAAAGGTAAGAAAAGAAAGAAGCTTCCCAATCACTTCATTTAAAGTTTAACCTTTGATTTTGGCTTCATTAACTCAAGTGATTTAATGACAAGAAGTGTATCAATGGTGTAATTCAAATGGATTCATGACCAACTCCCTAAATTGTTCTTTTTTTTTTGAAACAGGATTTCTCCATGTAGCCCTGGCTGGCCTCAAACTCAGAGATCTGCCTGCCTCTGCCTCTCTATTGCTGGGATTACAGTCACGCAGTGCTACCACCCAGCTCCCCGAATTATTTAGCGAGAATCTACCTTTAGAATCAAGACAAGTAACAGGAATTGACTGGTAAGATGCATTCTCATACTTTATAACATTCCCTTGTTCTTTCTATTGGGGGTTGACTTTAGCCACAAAGGCCTATTGATGGGGGAGTTCCTTCTGTGTATATGTTTATCTTATTGGTTGTTGAATAAAGTATTGTTAGCCAATAGGGAAGCAAGATAGGTGGGACTAGGAATCGAGGAGGATTCTGGGAAATGTAGTAAACAGAAGTCTTGTGATCCAAACAGGAAGAAACATAGTAGGCGGACTCAGAATATAAGCAGGGAGAAGCAGGAAATTGCTCTCTTCCTCCTCCTCTCTTCTAGGAGGAGCCACCATGTGATCCCAGCAAGAGAAGACACCTGCCGCTGGCATCCGATAAGTCTTTATAAAATATATAGATTAATGATTATGGTTGATACTTAAGACAGAGCAAGCAAATAAGAAATCCTTGTCATTGGCCAGCAGCATTGTATCTAATAGAAGTCTCTGTGTGTTATTTTGGGCGCCCACGTGACGGCCGGGCTCTGGTGGTTGGCGGGAAGATTTACCATTACAGTCTATTGCTTTCCAGATTTAGGACCTGGAAGTATAGAGGGTTTTTTTTTAATTTTTGAACCCCAATTCATAGAGATACTGAGTCTTCCTTTAGAGCCCTGAACCTTGAATCTGAAGGGAGAACTTGATAGATTTTAGCTTCATATATTTCCAGGAGATTGATTCTCTTCTGGATCTATACTTTCCAAGAAAAGGAAAGTGCTGAGACCGTAGCTTTGATTCCTATTCATGAATACTCTTTTTCTTTTACAGAGGGGTAGGGGTGGGGAATAAGGAGGTACAGTGTCTTCTTATGTAGCCCAGGATGGACTTGAACTCACTTTCCCTTGCTTCATCTCTGAATGGTAGGATTACAGTCATGAGCCACTAAATCTTGCTATGACATCAGTTCCTAAGTGAACCAGAAGATATAAGGTAGTCATTAAAATTGAGCCAGGATCACAATTGGCCTCCAGGAGTAGCTCCTAAAATATAACTGATTTAGCTTGTGATGGGTAGGTAAAAATACAAGCTCTATACCAATTTATATACTAAGATAATGTCTTTGCTGGCATCTTAAATATTAATGAATAGTGGCCAATAATCAAAGTTAGCACAAATGCTCCAACTCTCTGGCAGCTGGCCCTTTAGCAGGCTCATTGGTATCTAATAAATGTTTGCTATCATTTTTAAGTTACTAAGTAGTATCATGTACAAATTATCACTTAATCCCCCCCAAAATCCAGTAATATGTATTGGTCAAAGTACAGAGATTAAGTGTCTGTACTCAACCATAAATGGGGCATCTATCTCACACCTCCTCCCCATAAGCTTAGGGGATATCATGGAAGAGGAAGTGGAGCAAAAAGTTAGAGGCTACAAAGATTCGGGAAGATGAACTCCCAGCAGCTGTGGCAGCTTGCATCGACATGCACAAGATGAAGTCAGTCAACATTTCTAGCATGGAATAGGTAGGGATTCACAAGTCCCTACCCATAGTCCTAGAAGTCGGGGACTTAGCACTTACTAGACTGAAAGACTACTGGTACAGACATCTGCAGATCTCATAGTTGTTTAACATGTAAATGAGGAGCTGGAGAGATGGCTCAGCTGTTGAGAGTACTGGCTGTTCTTCCAGAAGTTTTGAGTTTAATATCCACCACCAACCACGTGGTGCCTCATAACCATCTATAATGGGATCTGATGCCCTTTTCTGGCCTTCAGGCATACAGGCAGGCAAAGCAGGCATGCATAAAAAATTAAACCAAATCAAAAACCCACCACCACCAACTACAAAAAAATGTAAGTGAACAATTTAACACAAAGCTCTAACAATCTGCTTTCTAGGATATGCTCACTTGTGCTGTAAAAAGACAAAGGCAGGGTGACAGGTCAAAAACAGAGTAGTCTTTTTAGGTTTTAACAGGAAACTCATATTTGATTCAGCTTCTCATCTGATAACTGATTAACAAATTTCCTAGTAGTACTAGTGTTTTATTTTTTATACATTTTAAAGATTCACTTATTTTACTTTATGTGGATGAAAGGTTTGCTTCCATGAACATATGTTTACCATGAACATGCCTGTTGGATCACCTGGGACTGGGGATATGGATTGTTGTGAGCCACCACCTGGGTGATGGGAATCCAAACCTACTCCTCTGCAAGAGCAACAAGAACTCTTGGCCACCAGACCCCTCCCGTTCTCTAGTAAGTATTAGTGCTTCTAAGCTGGGATGACTGTTCTAAGTCTTTATAGATTAAAATGGCTGAAAAGGGATGGATGTGTGTGGAAAATCCAAAAATTTCAAGCCTGACTGTAAGCATAGCACTCAAGTTTGTTTTCTAAAGGTTTGTAAAAGCTTAATTATCTTAGTGGGAAGCTTATTAAAACATGAAGTCTACAGGGAGGTGTTCTTTGGGTAATGTTATTAAGTTCAGGAAGAAAACAACTCAAAAGCTTTAGGAAGACCTTGAAACTGACCAGATAAACTTCTCCCTCATTCATTAAGCTGCATATAAGCAGAAGGGTTGCTGAGTGTCTTAGACCAATGAGACGGAGACCAACCAAGCTGCCTAGAAGAGACTCAGGCCAGTTGAGGGCTTGGAAGAAGCAGAGATCAGCCAACTTCCTGAAAGATATTCTCCAACATGTGAGCTGCCTCCCAATTGTGCAGTGCTCTCCAGGTTCCCAGCTTTGTGAGCTGTTACCTATGCTGAGCTGGGCTTTTGATGATGCAGTCATCTTTAAGTCATTTCTGTTCCTGCATGTGACCTCTTACCCGTATTCCTCTAAGTAAGCACCATAAAACTTTGGTGGTATCCCCATTTTGGTTTGTCTTTGGTTCCCCATATATGGGATGAGCAGATATTTGTTCATATGTCCCCAGAAACAATGTCATACAACATTTTCCAACAGGGTATTTAATGTCGAACACACTTTGAGAACTTAGAGATTGTATATATAAATCGTAATTCTGTGTTTGTTTTCATCACTTCTAATGAAATTAGGACATATACCCCTGATTAAAGTATTAGCCACACCACAGTGTACAAGCTGGGGATTCTTGGTAGTGTGAGTGAAGATGCCCAGCCCAGTTGTGGTCAACAGAGACTCTGTACACATTAATAACGGAAACTTCTAAAGGGAAGATAGCTCTTAGGAACATCTGACCCTTGACTAGGTCCAGTAATAGCCTAAATGGAATAACAGATAATCTGAAATTCAAAATTTTACCCTCTACTTGGAAGATTCTAACATTAGGAGACCTAGAAAGAAGTCAATCCAAAACTTGGTCTTTCTCTTGCCCTTCATGTCCCCATGTATTTCCCTATCTTAAGTGAACTTTATTTTACTTTATGTGTATAGATTTTTTTTTGTATGTCTGTATGCCACTTCTATTCCTGGTAACAGAGGGTATCAGGTCTCCTGTATCTGGAGTTAAAGACTGTTATGAACTGCCACTTAAGCGTTGGGTCATCTGGAAGAGCACTGCTCTTTTCCCTTTCTATTTCTTTTCTGTCTCTTTATTTCATTAATTTTTGCTTTTACATTTATTCTAATGCATTTTAACTTCAAAGCATACTTTAAATTAATTTTGCTGTTCTTATTTATTTTATTTTTGAGATAATATACACTTCCCCCTTCCATTTCCTCCCTCCAAACCTTCCCATTTATCCCTTCTTGCTCTATTTCAAATTCAAAGATAATGATGCGGGCTGGAGAGATGGCTCAGCAGTTAAAAACACTGGCTGCTCTTCCAGAGGACCTGGGTTCAATTCTCAGCACCCACATGGCAGCTCATAACTGTCTGTAACTCCAGTTCCAGGGGGTCTGACACATTCCACATCAATGCATATAAAATAAATTTAAATAAATTATAAAAAAGATAATGA